CTCTGGGTCTATTCAGGATCCGGAGGACCCCAGGTCATCTTACTCACTTGTCGGGCCTGCGCTCTGGGTCTATTCAGGATCCCGCCAGGCCCTAGGTGGTCTCACTCACTCCCTGGGCCTGCACTCTGGGTCTATTCAGGATCCCATAGCCCTCGGTCGTCTCTGAATGAACTATCTTATAAAGAAAGTTTTGAAATTTTTCAAGGTAGAATATATATCATTAACTACCATGATATTTGCTTGAAATCTGGGGTAAATGTCTCATCAGGAAGCCAAGCTAAAAGTTGGCCTACTCAATTATCTCAATTCTTATTTTAATTTATATATCACTTACATGAATCATCATAACGTTTTAATGTTTGCAGCACTGATGGTCTATATTGTTTCTGATCATAACGTGGCTTGTTCCCTACTCTGTACAGCTCGTTCGGCTGTCACCGGAAGCTGTGACAGTGATGGTCTACATATTTTCAGAGGCAACAGCGTCTCTTCCTCACCTGTTGCTACCCTGTGTGGAGATGAGACCTTGGACAACATCGGGGTGTTTAGTCCCGTGCTGCTTAACTTCTACTCCAATGCACACATCACAGACTTTGGATTCAAGGTTTCCTATCGGATAACCTGTGAGTAACCGTGATGAGACAGCTTGGAAGTTTCTTTTTTTCTTGAGTACTTTGCACACAAGTTTTCATTATAGTTCAGTAATTACCAACTTGACAATTCAGAGAATTAGATACATGGTACAAAAATATTTAGCTGTTCTTTTCTTAAAAAGAGATAAATCAAATGGTGGATTGAGATTTATTTTGTGATTTAAGTTAAAATGAAAATTCTTGCTGCCTTACTTTTCATTCATCATATAGGATGCCTTTTGGCTTGAATTATTCTGAATAGTCCAGATGCCTGTTTTGTACCCCAAGTCACTTTGTTGATATGAAAAATAATATTTTGTCAATTTAAAAGACATATAAGAGAATATCTATATGGATCTTCTGATAGGAAAGGATTTTTTAAAAATTATGTGCAAAATGCATGAGTCCTAAAGGCAAAGAAAAATGTGAAACATTCAACTATGCTATCATTCATAATTTTTCTCTAGCAAAGACAAATGCTGGGTAAAGGCTCTGTAACTACACAGAAAATCATAAGATCGTATTTCCCTATCTTGAATTGGCTTTGGCCCTCCTGCTTGGTTAGTCTGCTGACAGTGTCTCCCCATAGCTTCTCCACCTCAATGAATTAGATTTACAGTTTGTAAAATCTTTCCTTGCTGTGTTTTGTCTTTGTTTAACCAAACCCATTGCTAATAGTAGGAAGGTAAGTTGTTTCCCTTCAAATGAATTACATTTTCATCCACAGGGAAGACTAAAAAGTCTGTTTACTCATGAAAAGGGCCTTTGTAATTTGTTCACATTGGCTGCCATCTGAATCCTCAATGCTATCATCTGTAAAGTATGGTTCCGTATGGTGTTGTAGGCCTGTTGGTACCACTAAAATTAAACTAAACAATGAACATTTCTTTCTTCTTGTCTTGCTGAATAAAAGGGAGAATATATTTATTTTCTTCATTTGGAACAACCACTGTTTCCAATAATTAAGCTGCTAGTTTATATTCTACTCTTTAATATGTCTTTTTCCTAAACACAATATGCAAGTTTTAATCTATCTGGTACATAAGTCTCACTTAAAGAGCATTGTTGATCTTGACTCCAACACGTGAAGGTGTAAGAAGATGAAAGTTCTTTAGGCATTGATAAACCTTCAGAGACCACATAATTGTGTACTGAATGGACTAGAGTAATTGCCAACCAACACAGACATCTAATTCAAGGCAGATGTACCCAGGAGTCTGAGAGCAGAAGCACATAGAGGCATAGAGAGAGGCACTTGCCCTGCAAATAAGTTCATCTCACACAACAACAATAAAGAATGAAAGAACCGTAAATGGTTTCTCATGTCCAAGAGATGTGGGTGAACATGTCCCTTGATAGTATATAAACCACGGAAATATCAAGGTACACTACGACATTGTAATTTTAGAATCATAAAGTACACATAGGCCTTTCTTTTTGCAAGAATAAAGCATCTGCCATTAGGTGGTACAGTTTGATCCTTCTTGTCTGTAGGCTGAAGCAAAAATACTGCAGTAATTTCTGTTATGCATAGAGGATCTGAGTTACACTTTTGCGGCTGTCATCTTATTGACTGGTGGGTCTAACTAAAGACTCTGGATTGTTAATTGTGGGGTTAGAGTGGGGGAGAGGCTTACCTTCCCTACGTGTATGGAAAATTAATTATACAAATTTGGGGTTAGTACAGTTTTTTTAACCAGTCTCACAACACAATATAAATACAGGGGACTTAAGAACTATGCATCTGAACCATAAGGGAACAGGCATGAAAGTTCTAAAGCTGATTTCCAATACTTGCCTTATAATACTCTTTTCTTAATTGAAGATACATGAATCTATGTTGTCAAAGATTTATAGGCTGAAGTTATTCCCAGATCCTGTGAACTTCTAAAACATGCCCTAACTTCCAGTTGCTTTTGTGATCTATCAATCTGGGCCAGGCCATTACACCACACATATTAAATGTTCTGTCTCTTTATTTTTCACTCTCACCATTAATTCAACAGATACTCCTTTCTGAATGTGCCTTAAGACATTCACCTCAATTTTTACTCCTTTACTGTCTCCTATTCTTTTCCCCAATAGGAACATCAAAATTATTTGAAAACAACAAAAAATTAAAGCTACCTTAAGAAAAATAATTATTATCTCTCTTAGAGAAAAAAGTATAATAACATAAAATATGTTAACATTATTATTCCATAGTGTGGGCAATAACTGCTCTTTGTGCCTTGCTTTGCAGCCTGTGGAGGTGTATACAACTCGTCCACCGGAACCATCAGGAGCCCTTCCTACTTAGACAGCACATACCCGAACAATGTCTACTGTCTGTATAACATCTTTGTGGGAAATGACAAAATGGTGCTACTCAAGTATGTGAGACAAATTTGCTTTCTCAAAAAAAAAAAAAATACTTTCAACTTTTTTTCACAGAAAAGCCAGTCCTTTACTCATAGAGAGAACTCATTCTTTCCTTCAGTAACCTAGAAGGCAATTTAGAGGAAGGAAGAGGGAGATTCCTGCATGGCAGGAAAATGTAGGAAATCCTCCTCCCCCCATGAAAGCTGGTGATGATTAAGAGGAAGACATGCTTCCTACCAATCAAAAACAGTTGTTGTAACTGTCCAGTGGTGAAAAGAAGCTTCGTAGAATGGTTGCCATGTCCTAAACCTGTCCTGAAATCAGCAAGGGGAGGAAGGGCTAGAGAGAGCAGTTACCATGTGTTGGTCATTTATTAGATATCGCAAACTCTGATTAGTACCTTCATTTGTTTTTTTTATTCTTAAACAGCTCTAGGAGATGTGTATGTATTTCACTTTTTACCATTAAGAAAACAGGATAATAGTACCACTTCATCTCACAAAATAACAAGGGGAAAACAAACACCATATTTTGGAGTGATAAATTAGTTCATCTTGTCAGAACATGATATCAAATGGACCTTAACATGTCTGAGCCTGGCAATTTGTTGATGTGTTTGACTGTGTATTATTTATCTTTATATGCTCAGCTATCAAAGTTTTTGGTGTATTTATGTAGTTACTCTGAATATGTAGGCTAATCTTTTGAACTCACCACTCAAGTGGTGTCTTACATCTAAAATTTCCCACCAAGCAAAGCTTATATGCTCTGCTTTCAGTTTTTGCCTTACAGTGTTTTGGTTTTTTTTTTTTTTTTTTTTCTTATAAGAACTGAGGAATTTTTAGGCATTCAGAGGAGAACATCAGTATTAATGAGCTATACTTCACAGGTTCAGTGACTTTGCTGTGGTTCCCTCCACCTTGTGCTCCAACGACTTCGTGGCAGTTTATGATGGTTCTAACATCAGTGCTCCCCTTCTTGGCAAATTTTGTGGCTCTACACTTCCACCAGCTATTAAGAGCAGCACTAATAGCATGCTTCTGGTGTTCAAGACTGATGCTATTCAAACAGCGAGAGGCTGGAAGGCAGTTTTCCGGCAGACATTAGGTAAGAATTTGGGTCATAAAAATCTTTTTCATGGTTGTTATCTTTCTGCTTTGCTTAATTTTTTTCCTACTTGACCAGAGTTTCATTTCATTTGGACATAGAAGCATATGTTGCATAAAGCCTTGGTTTTAAAAAGTACATAAAGTTCATTTTGCTTAAGTCATCCAACACACACATCACTTCCATATATACAGACAAGAGCAAAGGTGGTTCCTGTTCAGGTTCAACTACTCGCTGATGGGATCTGAGATTCACTTTATGCCAACAGGAAGGATAGAAATGGAATTTACAGTCAGGTAAGACCAAAACCAAGATGAAGGCCCAGTGGACTATGTGAAATTCATTCTTAAAGCAGTGAAAAGTCTTAGAGAATTGTAAGTAAAGATCTCATGGCTAAACTGGACTATTAAAAAATGTAAGACTAAAGGACCCCCCAAAGTAAAAAAAGATAGAAAATGGGACCAGCGAGATAGCTCAGCGGACTAAGTGCCTACTTAGGCAAGTGTGGGGACCAGGATTCAAACCCCAGCACTACATGCCTTGCCAGCCCTTCCCCAGGCCTGGAATCTGGGTGTGGTTGTGCACTCCTGTAATCCCAGTGCTGGGGAGGCTGAAAAGATCACTACTAGTCTGAGATGTGTAGTGAGACTCTATACCAAATACATTAAAAAAAAAAAAAAAAAAAAAGATGGAAAATGCCCAAGGTAACCAAAGATGTAGAGGAAAAAAGTGGAAACCTCAGTTTCTTAGAAGGTAGGATACATTGAAAATACAACATTTGAAACTTGGTAGTATGCTATGTGAAAATACAAGTGGAGGATGAGGTCCTACGGGTATTTGGACAGTGGAAACTTAGTATAAGATGGAAGGGAGAACTGTTATTGTTTCCAGTATTTCGAGCTGGAGGGCAGGTCCTACATGGAAGCTGAGAGAGCTACCAGGAAGTTGAAGATTCAGAAGCACTTTGGGCAAGAAAGAGCAGTGGCAAGGAAATCTGTGTGTGAGTTTAAATAGAAAATAACACCCTCATTGAATCCTTCTGCGTGGAAAGACAATTATCTATATAAAATTAGCTCAGAAGTTCAAATCACTTAAAATAGAAGGTAATCAGTTCTCTGTTTAATTATTCTAAGAACATCAATGGCATAATTTATATTTTACTCCAGAGGATGGTTTGAGTCTTCCATTTGAATACTGATGTGATTAATGCTCTAAAACTCAACAGCTCCCCAAACAAATCTCATACTCCCTGAAGATTCAGAAAGATCTGAGCACTTTGCTACAATAATCATTCTGACTCACCTTTCCAACTCTTCTTTGGACCCCAGTGTTTGAATAATCTTAATCTCTCCAAGCAGATCTTAGCTGGAACTCCACATGTGACATGTTATCTTCTGTGTATCTTTTGAAGAGTAATTATACTTGTGTGTTTCACAGTCTCCCCACAAACCTCAGGCATCTTGACAAGGGTATCAGAATATTGCTTTACCATGTACCCTCCTTAGCTGTCTCAGCAATAATTTGAAAGTTAGCCTTATGGATAGAGAGAGGGTCCTGAGTAAAATGATGTAGTGAAAAGAAAACACAGAAACCTAGTTTGAAAGAAAAATTAATTTTTGGAGGTTTTTTACATAAAAAATTCATACATTCTTACCTTTAGCACAGACTGTAGGATCAGATGATATATTTGCACTTGTTCTGCTATGTACTTTGAAGTCTTCTTTGCCCTAACCTGTGCTCACATGATCGCTGGAATGGCTGTCCTGAAGCTCTCCACAGCACTGCAGTCTGCATGGAGCTCTCTAAGTGAGCCAGGGTTTCTGGGCCTTATTAAATTACTATGGCTTTCTGAGCTACAAAGGGGACATTTTTAGACTTATTGTGATTTTACTGAACTGAAGAAACACAGAAGAAAAATTGTACACTGTCAGAGGCATTGTCCCTGCGTGAGTCATTGGGCACTTACAATAAATTACTGTTTTCCTCTGGTCTCAGTAGAAAAAAAGATTCAAGTGAAGGGTGCAGAAGTGGAGTTTCGCTGCTTGCCAGCGTGGTGCTGGCAGTATGTTCGCTGAGGACTTTTGCCTCTTTATCTTCTGTAAAAATGTAATCAGCCACTTGAAAAGACTTAGTTTAGTCTGATCATTCATGATAGGTTTCTACTGAAATACTAGGTATTATAATTTTGTGTTGAGTTTTATGAACTTTTCAAGCCCACACGTTAGTTTGTTGATTATTCTAAATATCTTTCAAACTTGTTTTGTTGTCCTTGTTTGTGGTGAGGAAAAGAGAAACAACAACAAAATTAGCTTTAATCCTAGGGATTATAGAAATCTCTTGGTTATAGATATGCATTTTTATAAACTTACAGTTGGCTACTAGCTACACCATCTATCTCTGTCTCATTTACTGAAACCTGCCCTGTCTTTCCTATACGGAGAGTGAAGTGAGCTTGTGGAACAGGCAGTGACTTTCCATTTCTGAGGCTTATGTTTGCCTGGAAAACAACTTCACTGAGTAGTAATTGGTATGAAGAGGAGGCCTTTCATTTCCTTTTGTGCTAACCAAATCCCTAATTTTTCCAACTTCTGCTTAGATTATGCACTTGGAAATAATTTATGTTCATCTGCTTTCACTTTTAACGATTTAGTAGATTTTTTTACATAATTATGTGATTGTGAGAGAAATTCTTCTTATACATTTGTTACATTAGTATTGCTGGTGGTCTCAGAGAATTAGGGAAAAAAATATCCCCTACTTGTTAAGCCCTATGCAGTGAGGTTGAGTATCTTCCTTTCACGGGCCTTCTGCTGTTTGAGCCCAAGTCTGTGACATAAATTGAGGGTAATGCTAAGTAAAGCAGCAATTCTCCAGAGCTGATATCTAAGGATAAAGTAAATCTGCCATCCTGCACTTCAGCACTACAGAGATAACTGATCCTGAGCAACTGACAAGCATGAAGTTAATCATACTGAGCTTCAGGGCTCTCTGAAACTTTAAAATTATCTCCAAATAATAATTTGGAGCATTTCTTTGGATCAGTTCATAGATGTAATCCCACAACAGTTTAAGAGGCCCATGATTCTGTAGATTTGACTGGAACAGCCTGCTTTACAGGGCAGAATGGAAGATTAGAAGAATCCCTAACACTACTAGTTTAGTTTCAGCCTTTTCTTTACTAACAGGCTTTGCTTTAGCCACACCATAGACAAAGCACTTTACATTTGCAAATTGCTTTTAAGCACCATAGCCTCAATTTCTTATCACAAGCCTGGTCTCCTGCCAGGGTGTCACAGTTAGTCTTTTCATGAAGTACATTACTGTGCAGTGTCATTGTCATTTCATTTTTCTCTAAAGCAATGTACACTGTAGCACTTTAGAAAACTGTTGGTATACAAAATTGTACTTGGCCCAGATATATTTTTAAGCATTAGTCAGTGAGCTACCCAGGAGAGAGTGAAGAGTGCCCCCTGCAGGATTCCACATCTTACAAGGACCAGGCCCTTCCCCAGAGAAGACACCAGTGTCAGGGACATGCGAGTGACATCAGTGGTGAAGCCTTAGCCCAAAGCCCATAGCTCCTGTCACCCATAGTCTACTTGCTGAGGATGAGGGTGTCTGTCTTCCACCTCTCAAGGCATTTGTCACATGGAGAATGAGTCAAATAGCCTTAAGGTCAGACCCAAAGAAACAAAAGCGAAAACATCAAAGCAAGGTCTAACAAGGGCAGAGGTAGCAACACAGCCAATTGGGAAGAGGCATAGAGTAGGCTTCCGGTGGCTGCCATCCAAATCATTGATTATGTCACTATGAAGTGATAATGGTTTTAGAAAAGTCCTGTAACATTTCTGAGCTCATGCTTTATCCACCAACAGCTTTATTTGAAATAATACCACTTTATATCTTTTAAGAATCTGATAAGAATGAAGTATGTAATTCTTATAAAGTACCTTGACTGTCAGAGAGGAAGATTATTTACTGGGAGGTAATAATAAAGCCCTAAATGGTTTATAAGATTCTAAGGTGCACACATCCCCCCCACCAAAGGCAGAGGGTAGCTAAGGGGGGGTGGCGGCGAGGACTATCAATTGTTCATTCTCCTTAAGAGTATTCCAGGCTACAGTGATCTCTTCTTTCTCATTTTACACTTTTCCTGATACCTAACCATGAAGCCCTAAAGTATATTTTAAAACTTAGATCTGAAATAAAAAACTAAATTCTAATTAAATTTCAAAGCCCTATAGATGTATAGCACATCGTTCTTACTCCAGCAATACTGGCCTGATGAGTCAAATTGAAAAAGAGATAAATGAATAAATTATGCTTACTTCAAGTTATATTGTATTATAAGATACATTGTGTATTTTATATTATAATAGCTATGTTATATTAATTATATTATACACAGGTTCAAGTCATTCTCAAAACTTGACCACAGTTCATACTGTAGGGCTCTTATATAGGGAAAGAAATTGGATAACTTTCATCCAGAACAGTAGCAATGGGTCAGAATCAGTATTTGGGTCATGTGTGTTTTTAGTCTCTGGATTTCTCCCTGCCACTTTGACTTTGGAAAATATCTCTCAAACATTGTAAAGTTGGAATAGTAGGTATAAGTTGAGGAAGTTAAAAGGGCTCATATATATGAAAATAGTGTATAAGAAAAAGAAAGGAAGACAGAAAGCTAAAAAGCATGTGCCACAAAGTTGGAAAATATGGTCTCAGCAATATGAAAAAATCTAACATGTCATTTTAGACTTCAGCTTCCAGATAAATTTAAACTTCACAGCTTTAGTGTTAAGTTTAAACTTTGAGAGGAATTCTGAAATTCTGTAGCTAAACAGGAATAAACTTTAAAACATTCAACAACATTAAAAAAAAAAAAACCTGTGTATCTGTTGACTCCTCTTTGCAACTTGCAATGAACTGCACACCCCCATGACTTTTGGAAGTACAAGTACCATGAGGTAGGTTGAGCGATTTGGCAAATTATTGCTCAC